CACATTACCAGGTGAGTAAAACTATTCAATGTACAGACAATATACATTCCCAAATATATTGAAGTGACTGTTATTTTGTATATATTGATTATTGTGCTTTTATCTTAATGTGCATATGTATAAATGTGTCTGTTGATTGTGTAGGATAGGATATACATATTTTATACATATTTTTATATATATTATTATTTTTGTATTTGGGATTGTGGGAAACGGCATTTCGATCTCTCTGTCTGTACACACAAACTGAAAGATTGACAATAAAGTTGACTTTGACTTTTGACATTTTGGGTTGCCATACTCTGAGCCCAAACTAATGTGAATGATCCGTTTGGTTGGTGCAGTGTTAATAAATTCATAAAGTTTTCCAATTCTGAAACTTTTACAAGTTCGGCTCACTGTGAAATAGTTCCTGGGCAGTTGTTCACCCCTGAAACTTTGTTTCTATATGGCTAAGAGATGACAATCCTCCAATCTGTTATGTAATAAAAAATGCATCCCATCCTATAGCATACCAGGCTATATGGAGTATGTCCAAATGTCCTGATGGCCAGTCTGACAGAACGTGTGTGTAGGTATCCTCTACAGTATATGCCTGTCAGTGAGCCTTTCAAAAAGACAACCTAGAACCTCTCGGTGAAAGCAATCAGATGGCTGGAGAGTTATAATATCCTCTGAGGGGCTGCCCCCCCGAGGGGTTGACTGACAGGATGGAATATTTTTGTATTCCTCTGCAATTTCACCTGTAAAGATTATGGCTGACTATAACCAGTGAGATATGGATCCATCTTTTTCCAACCTGTGTACTTCGTTTAGTAAAAAGACACACTCACCTGATATTTTTGTAATCCCGATTCATATTTTAAGGAATTATTCCAATAAACGATATTCATCCCATATTTTCGCCTATTGCTTGTACAAATCTGGTAGGTTGGGGCCAGTATTTACCCTATTTTTACTTCCCAAATTAACACTGGAGTAACACATTCACTCTTTTACATTATGAAACAGGTAGACAGTTGATAAAAACACAAATTAGATAAGAAGACTACGTCAGAGAAGAAAGCTTTAGGACAAAGACTGGCAACAAAAGGAAACTGCTTGCATGTCTCTGTAAAGGTTAAATAAATGTCCCACCTGCACATCTACAGCTCACTAATTAAGACATTGTTTCTTGTTAGTTTAATCCATTAAAATCCAAAGATCAATCTTGGTGTTACGTTCAATTTAACCGTCTCTTTTGATGCGCACATACAATATCACCAAGATCACCTTCTTCCTCCTACGCAACATACTGTAGCTTGAATAAGGTTTTGTTTTTTTTAATCTGCTGTTGATGCAGAGATCATAATTCACGCCTTTGAATCATCCAGACTGAATTATTTGTATGTTTTGGCTCTGATGCCTATTCTGGTACTACAAATCTTCAATGCCTGAGAATGCTGCGAGACTCTAAACTAAAACTAGGAACTTTAACCACATTACATCTGCTTTTAGCTTTCCTATACTGGTTTCCTGACCATTTCAGATCAGATTTTAAGGGGCTTGAGTTGACTTACAAAATTGTAAATGGGCGAGCCTATTATTCTCCCTTCTTATTGAATAGTCTTCCAAAGAAAATCTGAATTCTGTTGTGGCCTTTTAACACTAGAACCGCCAGAGGTCGCTGTATACCTAAAACCGCCAACGGGTAAAATGTACCCGCTATTGATTTTCAAGGTACAATGTTATTTTATTTATCATGTAGAACAGTGAGTTTTGATCACACAGGGATGAAACTTATACCAATAGAATCTGTGGACTCTCAGCTTTTCATATGATATAGTTTGTGCAGATAACATGAAGTATAAAATATCGCGAAGAGTGCTGATTTAAAACGCTTGGTGTTAGACTTGTGTTTTGTTTAGGTACACAACTCTCTATCTATAACTATCTATCTATCTATAACTATCTATCTATCTATAACTATCTATCGATCTATCTGTAATGTTCTATTCTATGGACATATAATTGTCTACATAAACAGATGACGCGGACTACTTCTCTCATTCCGAGTGTCCATCTTTATTCAACTCACGTAACCTGCAGACATGCATTACGTTTTCAATGTGAGCTCAGTCATCCAAGATCTTGTATTCTCCAAGATGTTACACTATCTATAACTATCTATCTGTATATCTCTCTCTCTCTATCCATCTATCAATATATCTATCTATATATCTATAAGGAACCGCAGTAGACAAAAGGCGTTGCTATAGCAACACGTCATGTTTACGCTGCATTTTTTATGAGGTAAATATTACCCGCTGGCGGATATGGGTATAAATGGCAATTTTTTTGGCGATTTTTTCAATCTGACTTCATATTGACAATTGTTAACAACATAGGGTGCTACATAACACACTTTCAGGAAAAGTCACGGACTGGGAGACTTTAATATGTTATTGAAAACAAATCAAAAAACAGCTGCGGGTAAAATGTACCCGTTGGCGGTTCTAGTGTTAAACGCCATCTCTTTGCTTTAACTTTCAATTACTTCCCTATTCTTTCATTATCCAGCTGGCAGGTCAGTCTCAGTCTCAATGTATTATTTAAGCCAGGTAGTTACAGTCCTTGTTTGGCCTGCCAATGAGAATAATATTAACTTCCTGAAAGCCACTGTGTCCCACAAGCATAGCTGTGCAGCTCTCACTCACTCACTGTCTCCATTCCCTCTCCCTCTATCCTTCTTTAAACTCGGGCTTCTCCGTGCTGGACCAGCCAGAGAAGAGACTCTCTCGTCTGTGTTTCATTCCACTTATCAGATCTGGATCTCTATCCTCCAGGATATTCATCTTCTTTCAGTCTCTCTGTCTCTTTCTCTCTGTCAGGTTCACATACCATGGCCAGAGTCATGAACCGTTTGCTGTTCTCTTGTGGGAGGCATCACTGCACTCAGAGTGTTTGTGAGCTTTTGTCTGAACCTTCATGCTTGGAAGGTCGCAGAAACACTGATGTTCATGTTCGAGTTCTATGCATCCTTTTGGTCATGTGGATTGACTGTATTCTATTACGTTGGTCTATTCTGAACACAAGATCAGTTACATGGCTGTCTATCCTGGGAGAAGGATACATCCTCAGTTCCTTTCCTAAAGGGTTTCTCCATTTCTGACCTGTTAAATCGTTTTTGTTGGGGGGTAGGGTTTTTCTTCAACCAAAGTGAGTGTCTAATGCCCCTTTCACACCAACGCGGTTCCCGTTCTAGCTCCGTGCTTGCGTTCTTCTGGTTCGGAACCGTTTTTTCTTTTCAGCCCCCGTTCTGTTCACACCGCCCAAAGCCCGACTGGTGCTGCCCGCGGCTACGTCGTGACGTCACCGTTTACGTCACTAATTTTCTCCCCAACGGCGCTCACAACAACAACAATGGGGGAGTGCCGTGGTTCATTGTTTATTAATGTGTTTCAGCAGCATTTACCGAGTGCTGCCTGCTGTTTGGCATCACAACGCTGTTATGAAAGCGGTACTTGCTTCTAGACCGACAATTCCTTGGAGCTTGGTAAGAACCGGTTTTCGGGGAAAAGAGCCAGCTCTGCTGCGGTGTGAACAGGAAAAAACAGTGCTTATCAGGCTCTAGCTCCGAACCGGCCCTGGAACCGCGTTGGTGTGAAAGGGGCATAAAAGGACAAAGGGGGTTGATTGCTGTACAGATTGTCAACCACCTAAAGGAAATTAGTGATTTGTGATATTGGCCTGTAAAAATAAAATTGACTTCACTTGGCCAGCCTCAATGGGGGGTTATGTGTGGGACCATTCCATGGCTTGGTGCATTGAACACAGTGTTGTCACCCAAAGGTTGTCAGGTTAACTGCAACAAATCTTGAATGTGGCTTTTCTCCTGGTTATTATAAAGTTATAACAGTTTATTTGTTCCTTGTGCAAATATTTTCATTCCCCAACCACTTCTGCAAATCAAAGCTTTAGATAATATGGCTGAAATGCTCATTTTCAATCCGTCATTTAATCTGACTGCTATTGATGCTAATGGACCATGGTTTAGAGAAGCTGCCTAAATCTCCCAGATCTCAACGATGGCATTTAAAAAAGATATGGGACCATAGACAAATGGAAGAATGGACACATCTACACAAATAAATAAATAGTTTACACTAAATGCACACAGTATAGCGAAATGATAAGATGTTTTGCAATTGCCTTTGATTGGCAGGTAAACAGCAAGGGATAAACACCTATTTTCATATGCATTTTTCTGTGATTGCAGATCTGCGCAAGCCCCGCAACTTGCTAAATCATACATAACACCCAAACATCACTCTCAGAGGCAAATATTTACACAGAAACACCCCAGAATGTGTACATACGGGTGCACACACTCAAAAACGCACATATACATATAATTCACCCACACACACAATTGTTTTCAAAGTACAGCACTGCTAAAACGTGCACAAATATGCACTATTTTTCTGTAGTGCATATATTTCTGGGATGTGTTTCAGCCTGTTGTTGTTTCTGGTGCTCCGCAGTGCCATACACACACACACACACACACACACACACACACACACACACACACACACACACACACACACACACACACACACACACACACACACACACACACACACACACACACACACACACACACACACACACACACAGCATACCATTAAAGTGCAGCTACAACACCCCAAAACCCACACACTCCGCAGGCAACTGTCACAGTTCATTCATGTTAATATTAAAGTCATTTTGTATTCTGCCACAGCAGCTTACAGCTAATTATATGTCTCATAAATCATATATATCCTCATGGCAAAACAAATGAAATCATTTGCATTTCATAAAATATTCCACACTGAATAAAATCACTCTATAAAAGGTCGATGCATTTACAGTGGCTCTTATTATGTGACCATTACCCCTAATTTCCATAATTCATGTTCGGGCTGTATGAACAGAAGCGCTCGTTGACATTAGCTAAGGTTTCTCTGGGGTCTTACCTGTGCAAAGGAAGAGGAGCGCGGTGATTCCCACGCACAGAAACAGTCCCATGTCTCGCCTTGGACCCATGTTTATTCGAGGGAGGGAGGGGGGGAGATGCCGCTGGATAACTCCTTCAGCAGAAAGCCGCACAACTTTGCACGTAATTTATCCTCTGTGAGCAGTTCTCCATTTAAAAAAAAACAGCTGTATTCCGTGCGACACCACCTGTCATCACAGAAACGAACGCACGGTCAATATCTTCCACTAAAAACACATGTATATAGATTTTCACATAGGCCTACTAAATCAACTTATCACATGGCTCTTTCTTGCATTTTTTGCACTGTGCATGATTGAACTGTTAATTTGTGAGGATAAAACAGGTGCCTTCGGGTGCGTAAAACAAACCGTCTGTCACCAGTCTCACCCTACAACACCCAGGATGTTTAACAATTTAAAAAAAACACGTGAACATATCAAGGATTGTATAATTCGTGCCTCTGTATCTCGGCTTTTGCACACTGGTTAACCACTAGGCTACAACAAGCAACATTAACATATTTAAATGGAAATAAGAGTTACATTGATGGCGTTTTCTTACCATTTCTCTTATTGCACAGGATACGGCGCCGCTGTCTCATCCAATACTGACATTAAAAACACACCCGTCTCTTCTTATCAGGCTGCAATCATTTCATCAACGATAAGAGCAAAAAAAGTCCTCTAAAATCACAGTTTTCCCAAGAGCTCTCATGACACGCGCGGCTTGTGGTTTTCTTCTTCTTTTTCATAGAGTGCTGGATTGACATCGATCCAAATCATCTGGCAACTGACATGTAAACACATCCGATATCTGACAAAATAGTCCCCCCAACTTTCCTCGCGATTCACTGGCGGTGTGGTGAAGCTGATCCAGGATCTGTTGCCGCTCTGCGCCCTGTGGCTGTGGACACGGAGATGGCTGGTGCAGAAACTGGGGGTGGGGGGGGGGTGGGGGTGGCGAAGAAGAGGGGGAGGGGGGGGGGGGGCGCGCACCGGGATGGATTGGCAAATTAGAGGGTCTGCGGGCGTCACGTCAGCAAGTATTGTGCCACCGAAGTCCCGGTGATATCACATGGGGATTGCAAATTGTATCCAAGTCTCAAAAATGTTAGGAAAAAAAAGTTGATGGGAAATTAGAAAGGGGATGTACACCGCATGTGTAAATATATTTTTGGTTTGACTTGGTTTGGTTACTCTACACAGATATATCGTAATTTAAACACTGCAGATTTGCATCTTTAGTAGGTAAAGTCGTATACAGCATGAATTTAAACTGCATTATTTTTAGACGGAGCCTAAACATAAAGGCAATTTTGATAAATGGAGCTTCCTGTTACATCCACAGTAGGGTACAACCTACAATATGCAATCTGAATTTTGTGACATATAAGGAAGTTTCATGATTAACTGGCACCCTTCTCAGTTTTAAGTGGTTATCAATGATACAAAACAGCGAAAATTACATTTTTATTTTACCACTCCCATAACCCCGGCTGGAGGGATCATTTGTGTCCAGTCCAGGGATGAGAGGAGAGGAGCTGTGCAACCTGTTGTGCCATGGGTCCATCATGAGAACCAACAGTGCCATCTATGGGGCGCCTCTGACTGCAAGCTGCTGCCCTCAGTGAGCTCTATGAGTCACGGCTCAGACATGAGGAAGTACTGCAGAAATATAGTCTGCTTCAGAACATCTGGGGGCTGAACAAGGCTGATTTATGTACAAAAAAAAGTAAAATCTACTGCTTGAGTAGAACTGTAAAAAATAGTTATCACCACATAATTTGAAGTCATTACAAAATAGGTCATATTGTCTCTCTGTCACTTCTCACATTTACAACTCTTTCTCCAATAAAATCCTTTTAACAGAAAATAAATGCAACCTCAATATATGGCAATAGTACAATTACAGTATTAAAGGGATACCGTAGCAATTTAGTCTTACACATCAATAAAGTAGGGGGTCTTACAAGATGTTTTTCACTATCTGCCTCTATGCCCACTATTTTATATTGCTTCACCTTACATTCGAGTGAATGAAGTCACGCTCTTGTGTATGTGTGTGTGTGTGTGTGTTAAAATCCAAGCTTCTTTGTTCATTTGCTGGTCCAAACGCTTGTTATCACATACGCTTGTTAGCACCATAGGGTTAGCACGTACGCTTGTTAGCGTCTGTGAAAGTGGCTGCCATTCTGCAATGTGCTTTGACGGTGGTTACTGCTGATAATGCTGTCCTGATACCACAGCATTGTTTCCATAGCGTAACATTGTTGCACACATTTACTGCAAACAATGGAAACATTGCTTATGGACCTTTTTTGTGTGCTGTTTTTGCTGTTAGCAACGTGATTTGCTAGCCACCTGCTCAGGCATCACATGTTGAGTGTTACGGTAGAGTGAAGCAGGCAGGACCCAAATGCAGAATAAACTGATAACACCTTTATTTCAAGGATATGAATAAAACTCGGACAAAACAGAACACTCCCCGGTGAACTCAGTCACCAACAAAAGACGAACCAACACTGAACACAGGAAGAGCCAAGACTAAATACAGGGAGGGGTAATCACAAGACGAGAAACAGCCGGGCAGGGGAGGAGAAACACAAGGGCCACAGGTGAACACAATCAGACACACCAGGGAAACTAACGACAGGAGGAAAAACACAGGGGAAAGGACCAGACAATATACAAGGAGGAAAACACGACAGGGAGAACAGCAAAACACCCAAAACAAGACATACAAAACGTGACATAACACAATAATCGTAACAGAACCCCCCCCTCAAGGGACGGATTCCAGACGTCCCTAAAACACCAAAACAGTCCAATAAACGTCCAAAAACAAACAAAAAAACAATGTCCAGCAGGGTGGGTGGAGGGGGACCGGAGGAGGGACACAAAACTAGGGACATCAGGGTGGGTGGAGGGGGTCCGGAGGACGGGTCTGGGCTGACAACCCAAGAGCACCGCGGAGGACCCGGAAGGGATCTCGGGCGGACGGCCCGGGGGCAAGGCAGAAGCCGAGAAGGGGGACTCGGGCGGACGGCCCGGGGGCAAGACAGAGTCCAAGGTGGGGGTTATGGAGGGGCGAAGGCCACGCGGACGAACTCAGGGGGCCGAGCATGAGGGCGAGGGCCGCGGCCGGGAAAGTCAGGGGGCCGGGATCGAGGGTGAAGGCCGTGGCTCTCAGGGGGCCGGGATCGAGGGTGAAGACTGCGGCTCTCAGAGGGCCGGGCTCGAGGGCAAAGACCAGCCAGCTCCGGAGGCCGGGCAGGAAGGCGCTGACAGGACAGCGCCGGAGGCCGGGCAGGACCCGGTGTCGGAGCTGGTGGGACAGGCCTCGGCAGGATCCCCCACGGAAGAGGACCAGGACACAGGATTGGCAGGACCCCCGGCAGGAGAGCAGTCGGCGGGACCTCCAACGGGACAGGACATAGGGTTGGCAGGACCCCCGGCAGGAGAGTAGTCGGCGGGGCCTCCAACGGCACAGGACATAGGATTGGCAGGACCCCCGGCAGGAGAGTAGACGGCGGGACCTCCAACGAGACAGGACAAAGGGTTGGCAGGACCCCCGGCAGGAGAGTAGTCGGCGGGGCCTCCAACGGCACAGGACAAAGGGTTGGCAGGACCCCCGGCAGGAGAGTAGTCGGCGGAACCTCCAACGAGACAGGACAAGGAGCTGGCGGGACCCCCGACAGGAGAGTAGATGTCGGGACCTCCAACGGGACAGGACAAAGGGTTGGCAGGACCCCCGGCAGGAGAGTAGTCGGCGGGGCCTCCAACGGCACAGGAAAAAGGGTTGGCAGGACCCCCAGCGGATACCTCCAACGGACCAGGACATTGGGTAGGGACTTGAGACGTGACTCGAGAGGGGACTCGAGAGGAGACTCGAGAAGAGACTCGAGAGGGGAACCAAGGGGGAACTCGAGAGGGGACTCGAGAGGAGACTCGAGAGGGGAACTAGAGAGGGGAACTAGAGAGGGGACTCCAGAGGGGACTAGAGGAGAGACTAGAGGAGGGACTAGAGGAGGGACTAGAGGAGGGACTAGAGGAGGGACTAGAGAAGGGAACTCGAGAGGGGAACTAGAGAGGGGACTCGAGGAGGGACTAGAGGAGGGACTAAAGGAGGGACTAGAGCAGGGATTAAAGGAGGGACTAGAGGAGGGACTAGAGGAGGGACCTCGAGAGGGAACTGGAGAGGGGACTAGAGATGGAACTCGAGAGGTGACTAGAGATGGAACTCGAGAGGTGACTCGAGAAGGGACTAGAGATGGAACTTGAGAGGTGACTCGAGAGGGGACTTGAGAGGTGACTCGAGAGGGGACTTGAGAGGGGACTGGAGGGGTGACTTGAGAGGAGACTGTGGCAGCTGGGGCCAGAGCTGGGTCTGGAACCATGGCTGCTGGGGCCAGAACTGGGTCTGGAACCATGGCTGCTGGGGCCAGAACTGGGGCTGGAACCATGGCTGTGTGGGCCGGTTCTGTAGCCGGAACCATGGCTGCTTAGGCTGCTAGCCTGGCCTTGCGACGACTCCTCTTAGCAGCCGCCTGAATACTCCGTGGACCTCCATCCATAAGCCAGACAAGTTCCGGAATACAACTCCTGGACAGGAGCAGGAACTGGGGCAGAAGCACGGGTTGACTTCAGGCGGAACTCACCAAGGCGTATGGTGCCAGGTTGGGAATTGGGAGACATGGAGCTAGCATGCCTGGGGCTAGCAGGCCCGGGAATCAGGTTTGACCTCAAAGAAGTCCTCCACCCACTCGGGTAGCAACTCCCTCAACCAGGGCCTTGAGGTTACCTCCTGGCATGCCGCAGAAAAAACGGACTGCCTCTCTTCACTACTGAGGCATATTTAAAGTCATTCCTCAAACATATCAAATTGTACTCCACCTCGTACAAACTGTCCGCTGGGTCCATTCTTGGTTGGTTGGTTCTGTTACGGTAGAGTGAAGCAGGCAGGACCCAAATGCAGAATAAACTGATAACACCTTTATTTCAAGGATATGAATAAAACTCGGACAAAACAGAACACTCCCCGGTGAACTCAGTCACCAACAAAAGATGAACCAACACTGAACACAGGAAGAGCCAAGACTAAATACAGGGAGGGGTTATCACAAGACGAGAAACAGCCGGGCAGGGGAGGAGAAACACAAGGGCCACAGGTGAACACAATCAGACAACTAGACACACCAGGGAAACTAACGACAGGAGGAAAAACACAGGAAGAAGGACCAGACAATATACACGGAGGAAAACACGACAGGGAGAACAGCAAAACACCCAAAACAAAAAAATACAAAACATGACATAACACAATAATCGTAACATTGAGAGCTGTGTGGAATCAATCGTTTAATCAAAGATATTCCCTGAATTCTGTTTTTAGATCCTTTGAGTACAACACGTAAGCATCCAAATGTACTTATATTATCAAATGTAAAAGTACTCAATATGCCGTATTACCCATTTCCGAATCATCTTTATTATTATTGATGTATCAATAAGCATCATTGTTATTGCAGTTGGTCAAGGTTGAACTAAGTGGAACTATGTTTTATGTTATTTTAATATTGCACCTTGCATCTACCCATCCACACCTTGAAAGTACGATAGAGCACATTCTTTGGTAGTTTTCCTTTCTTTTCCCCCTGCTGGGAGAAAAGAAAGTCTCAAATGCCATCGTACACATTGCTATTCGTCTAGAGAAAAGGGAACAAGCCACAATAGGACACAGAAAACAGTGACATGTTGAAAGGCAGCCAGAGGAGCCTCCTGCAGCTGAGGCCTCTCCACAACAGCGCTAAACACCAATTACAGGCCATCAGCGGCAGAATGGAGGGACCCTGTGGGTTTAGAAGAAAGAGGGATTTCTCAATTTCTTCATGCTTTCTGCTCCAACA